AGAGAGAGAGAGAGAGACGGCAACCACGCCCGGAAATCTGTATAGAAACACCGCTGATTCGGTCTTTACGGCATATACTCACCCTATAACCATTTCAGCTTACCTGTGGACGTTATTGCGGTCACGTGCGACCGGGACTTTTAGTGAAAGCGGTCAGATACATCCAGGAAAGTACTCGTGTGAGCATCATCTCACACGAGATCAAATAACCGGCAATTCTTCAGGTGGGTGAGACGATAGACATACCTATCGTGAGCACCTTGGAGTGCAGATTTATCTTCCTCCTTTTCCCCCTTTCCGGTCTTGTTCCCTTAACCACTTCGAAAGCTATTTCCGAAAGAAATTCGGTCGGATTTGCCGCACCGAATATGGGAACTCTCCATGCGACACTGTCGCGAGTCGAAGGGGATGTTATTGGCGGGGAAGTTGAGATAGTGATGGAGAGTAAGGGGTTCATGGTGCCAGGTTGTCGGGATAGAAGTGGCACAAAAGAGGGTCATCATGACGAAGATCTGTTCAGTGAATGGAAGGTAGATGAGACATGCCGTTCGCTCTCGTAAATAATCCGAAGAGCTCTTCTCGGTAGGCCTGGTTCCCTTGGAAGCTAGAGCTCCCCTAAGTAAGTTCCTGCCCTCGGGAGCCTTCGCATTTGGTGATGGGATGCTCTCACGCTAAGGAAAGAGGGCGGGAGGAGAGAGAGGTGTGGAAGACTCAGAGGCAAGTCGAACTGGGATAGGGAGGAGGAAGACAATGCTTCAGGAAGATCGTCCTAACGACCGCGCTTACTAATCGAATACAAAGGCGATGTTTCGCAGAGCTTGCGCTACTGCAAGCAGATCGTCCTGAATCTAAGCTTGAAGAAGATCGTACAGAGCTCCCCTGAGTAGGTTCCTGCCGTCGGAAGCCTCCGCATTTGGTGATGGGATGCTCTCACACTAAGGAAAGAGAGGGGTAGGAGAGGGAGGTGTGGAGGACTGAGAGGCAAGTCGAACTTTTGGATAGGGAGGAGGAAGACAATGCTTCAAGAAGATCGTCCTAACGACCCCGCTTACTAATCGAATACAGAGGCAACGTTCCGCAGAGAGCTTGCGATACTGCAAACAGATCGTCCTGAATCTACGCTCGAAGAAGGTCGTCCTACCTACCTACCGCACGTACTATTCGAATGCACCGATGTCATTTGCGGGGACTCGCATTTGCAGGCGGGTGAGATCAGAGAGCTTCTTGTCATAAACACTCTTGGGTGCAGGTTGGCCTTCGCTCGACAACCACTTCAACACCTCATTTACCTCAGCTTTTTGCGCTTCAGACATATTCCGAAATTGATTCTCTCGGATCTGCCACGCTAGACATCGGACCTTTCTTCTCGACTGGAAAGTCGCCCTTAAAGCCTTATCCTTCGCTTCCCAATCGAGATCGGCCTGGCTGGGAACCGCCGCAGCAAGGGCGTTGTCCTTGCGGAGGACTGTGCGGCATTCCACCTTGCTTCCAACCTCCACGTGATTCGCTTTCGCTTCCGCTGTCGCAGAAAGAATGCCATCGTAGTTCACTTCCATAGCCACCTGCGACATCGTTCTCCCGTTTGCCAGCGAAGGGAGGAAGCCTTCCTGAACGAATTCGCCCAAGTACCGGTTATGGCGGCAAAGAGCACGTTCCCCTTCATAGATTTTGAACGTCAGCTTGGTTTCGAAGTCCGCTCCGGCGAAGTACCCTCTAGATCCTTTCGCAGGAATAGGAGAACCTTTCGGTATAATGATAGACATTTCGTTTAAGCCGATCTCTACACCGATGCTTAACGAGGTAATCTCGGAGATGGCTATGGTGGGCCTGTCATCGTTCCTCAGACCAGGCCCCAGGAGTCCTGCCTGCACCGCCGCCCCGTATGCCACCACCTCGTCCGGCTGGACGGTCTGCAACGGCCTCCTCCCGTCGAAGAACTTCGTGAGGAGCTCTCTTACCATCGGTATCCGCGTCGAGCCTCCCGCCAAAACCACCTCCAAGATTTCGTGCTTCCCGATGCCCGCACCGCGAAGAACCTTCTCGACGACGGCGATACACTTCCGGAAGAGATCTCCGTTCAAGGACTCGAAGGTGKAACGGTCGATGGACATGCTGAACTCCACTCCGCGGGTCTCCAACTCGATATCCACATCCTCCTCGAAGGAAAGGGCGTGCTTTACAGATATGACGGCCTGTCTCAGCATAGCACGAGCCTGGCGATCGGTGAGGATGCTCTGCTTGGTCTGACGCTCGAACTCCGCTGCCACATGCATCATCAGCCCGTGGTCGAAGTCGGCGCCTCCGAGATGCGATTCTCCTTCCACCGCTAGGACCTCGAAGTCGCACTCCTCCCTAGCTCCCTCCCTCACGGCTATGATTGATACGTCGAACGTCCCCCCACCCAGATCGAAGACCATTATCTTTTTCCCCGCGGATGCTTTGCCTATCAAGCGCTGATATCCGTACGCCACCGCTGCTGCCGTGGGCTCGTTCATCAGACGGAGCACGTGCAGCCCCGCCAGAGTACCGGCCTTCTTCGTCGCTTCCCGTTGGCTGTCGTTGAAATAGGCGGGCACAGTGATCACCGCATCTGTGATCGTATCACCGCCCAAGAAATTCTCCGCGATCTTCTTCATCTCCTTCAGCAGCATCGCCGAAATCTCCTCCGGCTCGAACAACTCCTTAGTATTACCCGATGCGCCGGGAACTCGAACGAGAACACCGCCACCTGGCGCAGCCAGCACCTCGAAAGGCCAAAGCTCCTTCAGTTGGGTGAGCTTGGGATCGAGGAAAGATCGCCCCATCAGGCGCTTAACCTCGAATATGCATCGCTCAGGATGCCGCTCCCCAAACATCCTTGCGGCCTCACCAACAACCCATTGTTCACCGTTGAAAGCGACGACCGACGGCGTGACACGAGAGCCTATCCC